GTTAGAGGCGATGTGCACCGGCAACCAGAGTTACAGTTTATATGAAATCTTGTTTTTGTGCATCATTCAATAAAATAACTGCGGAGACCTTCTTTAATGTTTGAATCTACTTCTTAACAACTCGTATAACGTAAATTCCAAAAGTACACTATTTTGACGTTATTTCAACGCACACCGATTCGAACGCGCCTGATATTATTATGTATTCCTATTGAAATAGTGTGTCTATAACGATAATCCCAGAGACGCGCATGTTTTAGAAACCACGCCCTCCCTGTGCCCATGGTGAACTGTTATTATGTACGTGAAAATAAAAGGCGATTGGTCATTATTTAAAGCGCGGTGGTCGTGGCGCGGCGCGTGTTCGAATTTCATGTAAATAAACAATGTATTTTACACGCGTTGTATACGCCGCTGTGAGTCCCATATCGAACAGGACGTGGCACGACGACTGCCGCCCTTTAAATAAGCGCAGTACAACAGACAGCACACCGACAAATGCTTCGTTGGACTAATGTCAAGCTCAAGTGTTATGTAGCCTCAGAAGGAAAATAAACTGTACCCACTTATTGGCCTAAACTTTGCAAAACAAAATTGAAAATTGTTAAGTTAGGGTTTAAAGGTTTGGCTCGATGGGTCAAAACAGCGGTATACTTTCGACTTCAACTATTGAAGTACACCCCCCCCCCCCTCGGTGTAAAATACACTTTAAAAATATAGAACAAACTACTCGTATGCAATAGTATATTCTGGTGACTGCGTGTTCACCTAAAAAATTACCTTGATTGGTGACAGGCAGCGTGCTTTCATTCCTCGAAGACATCACAAACGGACGATGTTCATACACATTTCGCATACATTGGTAATCCTCCGGTATCTCCGATCTCATGCAATCGTCTAATCTAGGCGTGAACAATTCAGGGCGATCAGGAAAACACCACGAACACATTTCACAGTCGTCACTTAATGTGTTAAGATAAAAACCTGAAATCAAAACAATAACAGACATTTGGATCTCATTACTTTGTATCATCCATTTTATGACAAATCGTCACTCACTGCATTTCGAAATGCTTTAGAACTATAGCAGGGGTTTTGTATGTGTTTAAAAGATATATGTTTGAAGAAATGTTATATTTGCAAATTTAAAAGTCTTTTCAGTAAAGATAATAATTATAAATGTTACCATAGTCTCGTATTGTTTCCCAAATGTTTTGTGGTGGGCGGAGGAATTAGAGATGGGCGGAGTACTTACCTACGTCACAATTCTTGACACATTTTGCATTCCTTGTACTGGTGCATTCTCTAATGGTCCGTTGGTGTGGGCTACACATCGTACAAGGTAAGCATATCCTTGTAGCGCTCCACGTACCGGAATAGGTGCCTTCTGGGCAACGTTCACATACGGTGTCATGTGACCCCTGACACTCGACACTGACCCCCGACCCCGGTGGACACTTACTGCACTTCTGGCACATCTGGTTACCATATGGATCGTGAGAGAGATATTTAAGACTGTGACCATGGTCACAAGTCAGTGTTTCCTGTAAGATAAATTAACAAATTATGGCATATAAAAACGACGAGTGTGACTTACAACCAGCAGGACACAGGGATAAGTGGCGGTCGAGGTTCGAGGTAAAAAGTAAAAAAAAAAGAGACATGCGTTATTATTATTTTGGCAAACACGCGATGTGCATGTGCATACTCATATTATAATTTCAACGCGAACGAGATGATAATTCACACCTAGGAACACGTCCTCCAAACTGCAAATCCATGTTGCAATGCAAGTGGTTTACACGTACACATTTTAACGACATCCACAAAAATAAAACAAATTAGCAGCCAACCAGTTAATTTGAGCTTGATACAGATCGCGAATCAGTAAACAATAAACCACATGAAATATTCATAACAAGTTTAAACGTGCAAACACAGACTAATAAAACCTTCCTACTTGAAAGCTGTTTTCAAAATGGTGACATCCAAACATCCAAAGGGGGTATTTGTACATTATTTTAGTTTTGAAAACTTACTAGACCAATTTTCTCATTCAATAATTCAACTTGTGCGTATATTAATGTCATGCATATGATTCTATATTCAGTCCGCGCACGTCTGAGAACATTACTTGGATCTCTATAATGTTACGTTACGTTACG